TACCCAATCATTATCAACAAACCCATTTCGTAAGTCAAATATAGAAATTTGTGAAATCAAGGGTTCATGAGATTTTTCACTTGAAAACATCGATTTAATAGCAACATTATCACAATCCATCATTTAAAACCATTTAATGCAAGAACCCTTGAGTAGAGTAACAAATAGAAGTTTTTCATAACTTTTGAGAATTTGAAAACCCTTTGAAATTGGTTCTAAAGCGAAAACTAGCTTTAGATAAAGAGCCACCATACCTTAGTATTGAGAAAGCCCACGAAAATTTGATGGAAGAAACCTTCAATTCGAAACCCTAGTTGCCCACATCTTCTTCTTCCTTGAGCTTGAGAGGACTTTTAGAGAAAAGAACTTTTGGGGGGTTTTAATTTGAAGAATGAATTCAAAAATACCTTTTAAAAGTTTTAATACCATAAATAGTTATTAGAAATAAAATAAAATACACTCACTTCTTAATTTAACTAAAAATTAATATTTACAAAAACGCCCCTTGTCCACATGGACTTACCAAATAAAACTAAGGCAAAGTCCAATTTTTTTTGGAAAATTTCATAACTCCAATTTATGCTTAAACTTTTAAGATTCATACGTTAGGCTCTAGTTTCACCTATCAATTTTTTTAGGGTCGCTACAAATCCGATCTTGAAATAAAACTCACAAGACAATCTGCGACTATGGCTCTGATACCAGAGAATAGCAAAAGAAAAGTATAATTTGGGAAACCTTCTGCAAGCCCAAGATCGTTAACTAAGATCGAAAGATTCAACTAAAGAAGAGGAAGCTAGAAAGGAGAACTTGTTTATGGAAGAAGCTATTTGATTTGAGTTGTTGTTAGGTTGTTTACAAATGACTATGGCAACCCCTATTTATACTAGAGTAGGGATGCTTCTAGAAATTATTCTATATAGATCTACAAGAAAAATCAGATGACCTTATCTTCTAACTATCTAACAAGAATCTAGATTTTTCTATAATTCACTATAAATATCTACTTCTCTAGAACATCTAAAATTTCCCTAAGTATAAATATCAAAGATATTTACTCTACAAAATTCTAGAAAGTTCTACTAAATATCTAAGATATTTTTTATACCTCCAAAAAATCATCTTTATTTTGCACAGATATATTATTTCATAATGATTTAAATATACGAATAAATTTCAAGCAAAATAAATTTAAAAATTATTTTACAAATTAAATCACTATTTATGAGTATTACTGTTGCTTGAAAAACAAAAGAAAAATAAACGCCTTTTTCTTTTATTACAAGAAATGAACTATATCTACGGTATAAAATTCAAATCTATATATATATATATATAAAGTTGGATAACAAAAGTCTAACGTGGCACCTCTATTTGGCCAGGATTACCATTTATCTATTTTTGTCAATTTTTTGTAATTTTTTTTTATTCTTTTGATCTCTAATATCTGCCAAAGAAGAAAAAGAAATATATTTAAAATATCTTATTTATCTCTCCCTCATTATTACTACAATTTATTATGTTTATCTCTCTTCACCATTACTATAAGTAATTACTCATCCCTAAATTCCTCTTTTTACCTTCTGTTTTAATATTTTTCTACAAATCCTGATTTATTTATCTTTTTTTTTAATTAGAATTTAATATTATACTTTTTATTTCTACAATTTTCTAAAAATAAAATATCTTATTTATCTCTCTTTTACTTATTACCATAAACGTTTTATTTACTATAATTAATTACTTTTCCTTAAATTCCTTTTTTTACCCCTTTTTTTAAATATAATTTTCTAAAAAATCTAATTTATTTATCCTTTTATTATCTATATTTTAATATTATACTTTTATATCTACAACTTTCTAAAAATAAAATATCTTATTTATCTCTCTTTTACTTATTACCATAAACGTTTTTTTCCCATTAATTTTTGTCTCGATCAATTTCATTTAATTTGTTGCCATAAAAATTAGCAGAAAATTAAAAATATTTTTTTATTTCATCCCTGATACTATTAATTAATTAATTTACCTAAGACCCTTCCTTTTCCTTCTCTCATATCTCTTCCATTTTATTAAAAAAAAATACCTTTTAAATTGGAATAAATTTCAATCACATTTATTTCCTATTAATTGAGTTTTATTAATTAATCATTATAATTTCAAAATCGGTTACAAACCTTTTTACCTTCCATTCTTATTTACATTTTCCTAAAATTCTCATAATTTTGTAGCTTCTCATTTTTACCAGAAACTCATTTACAAGCTTATTCTTTTAATTTTACACTTTTCTTTTGAGTTGCAGAAGCTTGGATTTTCTTGTGACAAGAATGGAGGAAAATGATGTGCTAATTTTTTCGAGGATGCCATGATTTAAAGGTGTATTGTAACTTCTTTTATTTTGTTATCATATTGTTTATGCTCTCTTATTTTTCTTTTTCTTGATTTATTGTGATTTTAACCTTTTAAAGACTTCAGGTATTCTATTAGAATATTTCAATATGAATCAAGAATCAAGAATTTAGAATACTTGAAAAAAATCATGAGATATTCAATTTCATTTTTCAAATGAAGCATATATGGTGATGGACCTTCACTATTCGAAAAATAAGAATAGCATGATGTAGTTCTAATTTAGATTCATATAATTGCTATTCTTTCTAATGTCATGTTCTAATGACATAATGTAAGTTCTGTAAAGACAATTATGTTAAGTAGGTGCAATTAGTCTAGGGCTTAGGTGATCTTCTTGGAGGATAATGTTGCTCACAATGGAAAGGTAAGTGTGTTGTTTGTAGAGGAATAATGTTATAGCATACCGTCGTCATATATGTGAGTATGATTCAACATGTGCAATATTTTTTTATGTTTCCATAATGGAAACCACAAGGTTCTTATTTTTCTTTTTGTATAGGTGATCATGGATGTTGCGATTGTGGAGAAAAGGAATCTTTGAGCAAAGTCCAACACTAAATTATATTATTATTTAAGTCTTTGTAAGATTTTATTTTAATTTTTGAAATTTTAGTTCTTATTCTTTTGGAGTTGTTCCCTAGTTTAATTAGATGAATAAGTTTATTATTTCTATCTCTAAAGCTATATATAATAATTAAAGTTAGGCATAGACAATGAGATGTGCACTTTTCTATGGCCAATAAATCTATTTATCTTTTTTCTTTCTTTATTTGATTTTTTTTCTTTTCATATTTTAATTTATTGTTGCAATTTTTTTAAAAAGGCAATGAAAAAGTATGAAGGCAATGAAGAGGTGTAAAGGAAAAGAACATAAGGAAAATAAACATTCACATTTGTTCAATTTGTTAATCAATAGTCACAATTCACAATATTAAATACTTCATTTTATCTTTCCTATAATTGATTCTCAATTTTAAGAACTTCAATTAATTTGATATTACTTCTAATTTAATAAATTAGCCTACTATGTTGTTATGAGTTTATCAATTTTTTGGCTAACCTTTTCATATTACATTAGTGAAATGACACACTCTTTCATATTGTGTTTTAATGAAGGATAAATAAATTTCTACATACTCCATCATTCACCATATTTTTTTTATTCAAATACTAAAACAGAGTGAACTTTCATTATGTTTGCAATCATGGCTATCATTACTACTCATAGCATGGCAAAATTAGAAGGGTCGGACATGTGCTTAATTTGTTTGGGTTAATATAGTTAGAGGGTTGGACATGGGTTAAGATAGTTAGAGGACCGGACATGGGTTAAAATTGGGTGATATGTTATTTTTAAAGAAAAACAAGTAATTTTATTTGATTTGGAGTTTTTCATGCAATTGAAGGATATGATTAATAAATTTGTAGATGACGGAGTTATGGATGGTTTCATAGTATAACATAGGGTAAAGTTAGTTATTAAACAAAATTTGATAAGTATTTTTACCCTTCTCCCTACAATTAAACCAAAAGATAATGATAATATTGGAAAATATAATATAGTAGAGTATATAATTAATCGGAAAGAAAATTAATTCTAACACATATCTTAATGCGCACGCGAAGCGCGGCTACGTTCCCTAGTATAAAAATACAACTTGATAATTGGCAGCAACAAGAATATGAAGCAATTATAATTTTATTTTTATCATTTAAATATATGATGATTGAGATTTCTTTTTTAAAAAAGAAATGAATTGTCATACGAAGTAACCAAACGGGTTGTTTTACAATTAGAGATTGATGAATTAATGAGTGATATACTTGGTAAATATATTTATGATATCAATATTTTTATCTTGAAAAAAATAATACCTTTTTTTTCTTTTTCTAAAAAAAAACAATCAATTTTAACTTCTCCCCGACTGCAAAAAAATTGTTTATACTTCTACTTGAAAACTTTTTTTACTTATTAGCCAAGCATCTCAAATTTGATAGATTTATATCATTACTTCTCTATATCGTAAGCGTTTGAGTACACGCAAATCCCCCCCCCCCCTCAAAAAAAAAAATTATAAACTTCAAGGGAGTCTCTAAATAAAATTTATCGACAATTCTACAAAATATTTTATAATCGAATTGGACCAAATCGATGAAATTTGTTTAATTTTGATAAATTTATATCATTAACTTCTCTATATAGTAAACGTTTGAATACACCTGAAAAACTTTTTCCAAAATTTAAGCCCTTCGGAGTCTCTAAATAAAATTTATCAGGCCTATCAATATAGTCAATCCAAAAGGATTGGCTATCAATAAAATCGCCGCTGCCCGGGATCGAACCCGGGTCACCCGCGTGACAGGCGGGAATACTCACCACTATACTACAACGACTTTTTTGTTTATCAAGTAGTTTTTGGTGTAATGAACAGATTGAGGTCTGTATATCTTTTATACAAAATTATTAATTAATTAATACTATATCCTATGATTGATATGAGATATGATTGTGAAAAAATATATGCTCACAAGGTGATGATGAAATGTCACATAGGGCGTTTTAGATAAGTTTTTCTTTGTTTGTATTACCGAGACTTGGACCTTCTCCAACCCTTGTGATGATTTAACATCAAAGTGCCAAACTATATTGTTGATAACAACTTTGGGAGTCATTAACATGTTATCCCTTGGCTTACCTTTGATCTATTGAGTGAAACACCTTCCACACGTAACTTCCGAATCATTATGATTTTGTGGAGTTCGTTGCCTTTTGAATTGTATGAGAAAGCTAACTCCAAATTAACAAATTTGAACCTCTTGCAAAAAATGCGGATTTAGTTGATATAGATATTGAATGGACTAATATCGTTGAACCCTTTTCATATGATGAGAGTTTCGTAAAGTTGTCAAAAGTTTTAACATAATGTCGTTTTTGAACCTAACACAACTGCAAAAGTTAACTTATGAAGTCTGAAAAAAGGATTGACCGAGACCATAATAAAGGTAAGTCATCAAATTTGATGGTGCCTTTCCCGCTAAAAAAATATCAGTTCTTCATCCAATCGTGAGTTTTGTGCAGTCTATTGATTTCCTTCTCCCTTTTGTGTCTAAATTTCCAATTGAATTGTTGTTTGAGCCATCATAAGGTTTCCCTTGAACAACACAAAATGTTGAAATATATATTGATTCTATTCAGTACTGGGACCAAACAAACACATGCCCTGCAGTCACAATTATGATGTAAACTCCGACCACTTAAAATTCTTCCTTTGCTTTTCACACAAAAGTTTATGATTAAAAATTATATTACATTTAATTGAAGGCGTGCAATATAAATTTTCTATTGAAACGGTTTAAGCGAACACCATCCCAACCCTTAGATCTGGGCCCGTTTAAATGGACTTATAAAAAGTAACTTATAAATCAAAAATTAAAAGTCATAAATAAATGATAACCTAACTTATTTTAAAAAGTTTTCGGCCTAAAAAAACTACTTAAAAGACAAAAACGCCTAAAAATAAATTAATCCAAACAAGCACTTGATTTGCTTTTAGGTTTAGTAATTGTATTATAAATATTTCCTTGTAACACCATAAAACAAAAATACACACTTTTGCCCCTTCTGTCTCCCTTTTTCTCTCAGAATTGATCAATTTGCCGATTCCTACTTTCTTCCCGAACTTTTGAGAGAAATTCTACTAAAACTTCCTGCTAAATCTTTACTTCGATTCACAGCTGTCTGCGAATCATGGCATTCCGTCATCACCAGTTTTCCTTTCATCTCCGCTCACCTCGCACAAACCCCACATTCTGACACCCTTATTGTTAGGCGTTACGTCAGTACTTCCAATAGAGAGCACTATTCGTTGTTTCAAGATTCTAAGAATCAACCATTTTACTTGAATTTCACATCGGAACTGAATTTCCCGTTGAATTGCCAACTTGGGTATTTCAGAATTATTGGCAGCTGCAATGGCATCCTGTGTTTGGCTGACGATTTGTTTGGTGAGTTGCGGAGTCTTATTTTTTGGAATCCCTCTATTAAGAAGTTTATAGCTTTACCTATGACTTCGATTAAGCGTCAGTCACCTCATATTGTTGTTTTTGGATTTGGTGTTGATTTGTCTAAGACGGATGCTATAAGTTGGTTAGACTTGTGTATCGTAAGAATGATGTTGTTGTGAATAATGATCCTCCTGAGATTGAAATTTATTCGATTAATAGTGGGATTTGGAGGAGAGTGACGGGGGTTGAGATTAAGCATTGTATGATGGAGTTTATGTGGTCTCAGACTTTTGTAAATGGAGTTGTACATTGGATTGCGTATGATGTGGTTGCGAATAGTGGTGGCCTTCGGAGTTTAGTTATGACTTTTAGGGATCGTTTGGTGTGAAGGATAATACCAAATAGTCCTGGGATTAAATTATAGTATCACTTAATTTGTTATTTGGTTGGCAAGTTCGGGATAACTTATCCCGGGATTAATAATTAATATCGGGATAAGTTATCCCTCTCCTTGGGTGTTATAGTAGTTTTGGGATAATTGATCCGGGATAAAATAAGTAAATGACAAAAATGTCTCTTTCAGCCCTTTTGTTACATCACTTTTTACATTCATGAAGGGCATTTTTGTAAACAAATAAATTGTTCTTAAAATTTATTATTTTGAATACAACAAACTAAACACTCAATAAAAAATAATTCCATCATAACTAATCTCATCATAATTTATCCCATCATAACTTGAATTCAAACCAAACGACACCTTAGTATAGCGGATGAGGTGTTTGGGGAGATTATGTTGCCGGATGCTTTAGTTGGTGTAATTCCAATGAATTTATCTATTATGTTGTTTGAGGAATCACTTGTTGTTGTTAGGTATGAGAGGGAGATAGATGATGCTTCATGTGAAGTATGGGTGATGAAGCAGTATGGAGTTTTGGAATCGTGGAGTAGGTTGTATCGTATAAATTTGGTTGCAGATATGGAGAAAGTAGTCAGATTTAGGTACAACGGTGAAGTTTTGTTTTCAACTAGGAGTAATGATCTGATTTCTTATGATCCAAATAGTTGACGCAATATGGATCTTTGTATTCAAGGGAGCTATCGCTTGTTTTATGTTCAGAATTACATGGAATCACTTATTTTGCTTAAAGGGAACAATGCTGTTTTATCAAATGTTGTAGACTAGTTTAGAGAGGTAATGTACTGAATGTTGAATTACATGGAATGGTTTTTTGCATTACATTTGTTGTTAGTGTACTCTGGTTGCCTTTTGATGTATTTCCAGTTTATTGTGAAACCATATCCTAGCGAAGGAACTTGTGTTTATCAGTCGACTATCATATTATTTTTGTTGTAGTGATGTTACTATCGGTTTATTTTTGTTGTTTTTCTTTGAGCTAAATATGGTTAGCCCTTTTAAGGTTACCAAATCCGGCACCCCCTTTTCACCTAAAGTTGGCAGGCAATAAGGTGTTGCAGTGACCTGAGTATTTGCTATACAAACATTATTACCTTCTCATTGCATTTAGTGTGATTTGATGAGGCAGAATTTCATACTTGGTGAGAGATGACTGGTATTCTGTGGAATTAGTCGAGGTGAGCGGAAGCTGGCCCGGACACCACAGTTGTCATAAAAAAAATTATAAGAGTTTCTATTCATCTCCCTGATGTCAAAATTGGCGAGTGATGCGGGAAATGCATAATGCTCAATTTAGCTCAACCCGAACTAGTTGACATTACAAAAGAGTACATATTCTTCACTTTGAAACACTATGCTAGTGCTGGACATTACAAAAAGTAATAGATCTTGTACAATAACAAAAGAGAGAGAGAGCGAGCCCTCTACAAAATCAGTGTTGCAAAAAGGTTAATAAAATCCGTCTTTTGAATCTTTGTTCAGTGTTCTTGCCTTCGTAAGTTGTGTTGATTTGGCGGTGACTTCAAATCTGATTCCTTCCTTGCGTTCTGGATCTTTGATTGATCATTGATCTCCTTTTCTTTATGGAAATTTGTCGTTTTATTATCTTTCATTGATTATGACTGATCTTCTTTCCTTCTGTTCCTTGGATGAATATTCACCCATGTACTTATTGCTTTCTTTTCTTGCGAAGATACTTTAGGTTAATAGTTATTATTAAAACTAATTTAGAAGTATTTAGGGGCTAACACTTATTACAAAAGAACAATTAATAATAAAGAATTAAAGTTAAGAAAATATTAGATGTTCAACAATCATTTGGGGGGAAGACAAAGTTTTCCAATCATTTGCCACAATTGAAAATTGAACTTGTAATAAAATAATGATGGAGAGCTCTAGTTCATAAATCATAAATGTCATATATTAACCCGCATTCAACCTTAACTTACCACATAATTACTCTATAATTTCACCCATATTTGAAAATAGTCTTGAAGTGACCCCCAAGAATAACTAAACAATGGATTCTCACTTAACATAACACAATGGTAAAAGAAAGTAATTACTGATTCTTTAACAATAAGTTATAGGATTAAGCTAATAAAATGCAAATAAAACGTTAATCTAGTAAGTATATGATTGCTGGATTTTCTTGCCTAAAGGTCATAAATAGAAGATAAGTGAAAGAAATAGTTTAGTGATTTTAGCATTGGGTTTATCCCAAACCCACAACCCACCCTGTCATGATTTTTATTAAAAAATATCTAAACTTGTCCTGCCTCATCCCACCCCGGCCCGTTGTCATCCCTGTATGTAAAGCAAATGTTACCAAAATTGTCTCTCTCTCTTTCTCTCAAAGTTGCTCAATGACTAATTCTGACTTCGCCTACATTCCTCCCGAACTTTTGAGAGAAATCCTACTGTAACTTGATTCCTACTAAATCCTTAATTCGATTCATAGTTGTCTGCAAATCATGGTTTTCCCTCTTCACCAGCTCTCCTTTCATCTCCGCTCACCTCGCCCAAACTCCACATTCCAACACCCTTCTTGTAAGGCGTGACGTCGATACTCGCAATAAAGAGAACTATTCGTTGTTACAAGACTCTAAGAATCAACCCTTTTCCTTGGATTTTATATCAGAACTTACTTTCCCTTTTAAATGCCAACAAGAGTATTACACAATTGTTGGCAGCTGCAATGGCATCATGTGTTTGTCTGGCAAATTGTTTGGTAAGTTTCGGAGTCTTGTTTTGTGGAACCTTTCTATTCAGAAGTTTATGACCTTACCTTTCCCTTCGATTAAGCCTAAGTCGCCTCATATGTCTGTTCTTGGATTTGGTGCTGATTTGCATGAGACTAATGGCTATAAGTTGGTTAGACTTGTGTATCGTAAGAATGATGTGTTCAAGTATAATGGTTTTCCTGAGATTGAAATTTAATCGATCAATAGTGGGGTTTGGAGGAGAGTGGTGGGGTTTGAGATTAAGAATTGTATTGTGGAGGTTATGTCGTCTCAGGCTTTTGTCAAAGGATTTGTACATTGGATTGTGTATGATTTTGTTGCGAATGGTGGTGGCCTTTGAATTTTAATTATGACTTTTAGTATAGCAGATGAGGTGTTTGGGGAGATTATGTTGCTGGATGCTTTAACTGGTGGAATTGCAACAGGTTTATTGCTTATGTTGTTTGAGGAATCACTTGTTGTTCATAATTATGGGAGGGGGATGTATGGTGTTTTCTGTGAAGTATGGGTGATGAAGCAGTATGGAGTTTTGGAATCTTGGAGTAGGTTGTATCGTATAAATTTGATTGCAAACTTGAAGAAAGCTGTTGGATTTAGGAACAACGGTGAAGTTTTGATTTCAACTAGGGAGAATGGTCTGGTTTCTTATGATCCAAATAGTGGAAGAAATACGGATCTTGGTATTCAAGGATACACTTGGTCATTTTTTGTTCACAATTACATGGAATCACTTATTTTGCTCAAAGGGAATAATGTCATTCCAGGTGGGTTCTTGGGAGGAATTGGAGGTTTATGAACTTAATGAGTAGCTGGACTACAAAATTTATCGATACAATAAAGAAGAATCTGATCAGTAGGTAAGGTATTTCATCAAAATTCATGGTTGTTTCAAGGTATTGGAAGTGAAAGATGTTTTATCAAACTTGGTATCTGTTAATTATATTGTTCTAAATGTTGAACTTTTGTTTTCCATTTACTTGCGTAGTTGTGTTACATTAGTTGTTACTGTACTCTTGTTGCATTTTGATGTATTTCCAGTTTAATTGTTGTGATTCGTTATCTTTGTCAGTTGATTATCATATATGTCAATTATGTTACAAGTACTCGATACAAAGCTTCTTCGATATGTTTAGACGAACATGGTTCAAAAATTGCTTGAGGCCATTCTGATTCAACTAGTGTTGTATGAATGTGAAGTCCAATTAATATTTCAAGAAATATTGGTAAGTCGTAAATTAAAAAGAAAAAAATAGGAAATAAAAAAAAGTAATTTTTGTAAATGGCGTAATTAACTACCCCACTTTCTAACCCCCAAAACAACGTGGAGCAAACCCCACTTCCATCACGTATTAGCACTAATTAATTTTTTTTCTTCTTATAAATACTTACTACTCCCATCTCTTCAAGTATTTCACAAATATTATGGCTTCCTCAGCAAATTACTTCAATTTCTCAACTATTTTTCTTGTGTTTTTGTTGCTTTCACAAAAGTGCTCATTCTTGGAAGCTCGAAATCTTAAAGAAGACGATCAACAGCTAGTATTGTGCGATGAAATATACGTAGTTGGAGAAGGAGAAACACTTCAAACAATATCTGAAAAGTGCAACGACATTTTTATATTGGCAGAGAATACTCATATCAATGATGATGATGATATTTACCCTGGCCTTGTTCTCAAGATTACCTCTACAAACCTACAACTAATGTTTACTTAGTAGTAACACTTTTATAATCTTCATTTTATTTTCAATTTCTCCATAGTTTCAAATTACTCTGTACAATCATATATATGTTGTCACTTGTGCAAGTTTATTAACATTTCTTCAGAAAATACTTTCCAATATCTGTTTATGCAATATTTACAATTTAGTAACATCAATGTCAATCCAAAAATCGGCAAAAATTCTTCTCTTTACTTATACGATTGCAAATTCAGACGTTGATATGATCGAGAAATTGTTCAATTGTTCTCCTCAGTATTCAACACAAATTGCTTAAACTTTTCGATATCCCTTTGTTTTTTAAAGAATGAACTTTTCAGAAGCTGTTTAGCAGTTGGCCTCTTCCTTGGATTCTTCGAAAGACATTTCACAACCATCTTCTCAAACTTTTCCGAAAACACCTTTTGTTTAAACAGATTATGCTCTGTTTTCTTGAATCTCCATCCCTTCTTGACGATCAACAGCTTTTCGAGTGATATTGGAAATCTCTTCTTCTTCCTTATCTTTTTAATTATATGAATCAATTCTTCACTATTCGTCACAGGTAATTCTCCGTAAGCTAATTCCAATGCCGTTATTCCCAATAGCCAAATATCAGATTTTGGTCCAATCGCCCCCTCTGGTGCAGCACCCCATATAGCAATTTTCTTCGGGTCCAAAAATGGAGGGGATCGCGAAATATCTTCTTCTTCATTTGAGTTTTCCTCTACATTGATGTCTTCGGAGTCATAAACTGATGCTTCAAATGCTAATTTGATCAACATTTCGCCATTAGCATTGTTGATATCAACAAAAATATCTCCAGCATTTAAAGTGTTATGAACCCTTGAATCAATTTTAAGATGAAGCTCATCTTGTAGACCGATAAGTACTTCTTTAAGAGCTATAGCAATGAATTCCTCTGGCAATTTTTTATCAGGACGAGTAGAGAGAATGTAACGGAGTGATCCATGTGACATATAAGGCAATGAAACGCATTTGAATTCTTCAGTATTGAAATTATTCTTGATTCCAATTATGTTTATTGTAGTACTATGACCTTTCGATACATTGATACTGTGTTGAAGCTCTTTGCTTTCGTTTACGAATACGATTCTGTTGATGACCTTCAAAGTGACATGGCCAGAAGGAGTATGTGCTCTGTTTTTTGTAGAATATTTGGAGAACAGAGCTTTGTAGACATGGCAAGCTCCATTAGAAGAAGAACCAATTTCATTTTTGAGAAGATACGTATGGTTTTTGTTTGGATCAATTATGGTTTTCCCAACTCTTGCAGGACAATAATTTCTTGGTTTACGTAGAGATAAAGAAATTCGCCTTCTCGAATTCACAATCCTAGAAGAAGAAGAACCAATTTCCATTCTTGGATTCCGAATCGTTGAAGAAGAAGAAGCAACGTTATCATCGGGAAGATCGAATGGTTTTGTGGGATTCTGCATTTTTTGTTGGAGGATTTGCAGAAAATTGGGATTGGTTTAGTGAGGAAGAAGAAGAAGATGAAGTATTTTGTAGCTTTAGCCGTTTGGGTTGTTATTCTCCCGCGCTTAATTGGTTCAACAAGTAACTAAGTAAAGTATTATTTTTTTTATATAAGAAAGGGGAAAAAAAGATTATTCGTTTATCGAAAATAATTTCTCTATTTCATGAATCATGACATAATATTATGTATCCTGTTACGAATCTAGCCCCAATGCAGGACTCAATTGATATATTGTCAAATTATGTTTGGGACCCGGAATAAAGGAATGAGGATGTACACTAAAAATGCCTATATATAGAGGATGAACTATCGCATTAGGGTTATGCTATGAGTTACGCTATTTTCTTTTAATTAGTTATTTTGTAATGAACCTCCCTTTTTTATTTTCCTTTTGATCTTTGATCGGCTTGTAAGTTCTTTTGTGATCAATACAAACCTTAGTTTGTTACATTGCGTAGATAAGTGCCCCCACTTCCCAACCCCACTTTCTTCACGTACTAGTACTAACTAAATTTGTCTTTTATTTTTGTCTTATAAATACTTACCACAACATTAATCTATTTAGTTTCACAAATATTATGGCTTCCTCAACAAATTACTTCAATTTCTCAACTATTTTTCTTGTGTTTGTGTTGCTTTCACCAAAGTGCTCTTTCTCGGAAGTTTGAAATCTTAAAGATGATGATCAAGAACTAGTATTGTGCGATGAAATATATGTAGTTGGAGAAGGAGAAACACTTCAAACAATATCTGAAAAGTGTGGCGATCTTTTTATATTGGTAGAGAATACTCATATCAATGATGATGATGATGATATTTACCCTGGCCTTGTTCTCAAGATTACCTACCACTAATGTTTAACTAGTGTACCCTTAATTCTTCGTTTTATTGTTAATTTCTCCTTAATTAGTTTCATTTAGATTTATATATGCACTGAGTAAATTACAGATATTCTTATCATGTTGTCAGTAACTTGACCTGATGCTGTATTCAAATTTACTTATGTTCATGCAGCATTTGCAAACAAAAATTGTATCGCAACAAAATAATGTTAATATTACCGGGGAACACGTGCTTATTAAATCATATATATTCTGTTTTAATTTGCTCATGAAATGAAACAATGTCTCTGATTAAATTAAACAACAGGTGTAGTTGCTGCAGAAATCCAAAAAGAGAAACTATCCATACTGTGAGATATCATGAGGGCTAAGTAGAGAGTCATTGATTAGAATTTGGGGTATGGGAGCGGACAAAGTCATGTACAAGAAATATTGATCATATGTACGTGTAAGTGAGGTCTGCAGAGGGTAAAGTGTAAGAAAACATAACCGTTAATAAGAAAAGCAGGAATGTGTTTGATTAACTAGTCTATTATAACTGGAAATCTGTTTGCCCCTTCTGCTGTCAAGAAATCGATCAAACAGCCCAATTTGGTGTTCATAGAACAGATGCATTATCTACAGAGAATGAGCAACTTCATACGAACATACAAACGTTTCATTCAAATAAAGAAACAGAAGATGACAAATCCGCACAAGTATATAAAACATATGATCCTCAGCTAAGAAAACAGATCATTTCATGCCTTAACGAATCTGCTGAATATACTACCTACATTGATAATTCACTGCTCAATTAACACAAATTGCTTAAACTTTTCAATATCACTAAAGAATGGAGTATTCAAAAGCTCAAAAGCAGTTGGCCTGTTCTCTGGATTCTCTCTAAGACAAGCAAGAACCATCTCCTCAAACTCCCGCGAAAACACCCTTTTCTTTCGTTTAACTAAATCCATCAATTTCTTGAATTTATTATCCCTCTTGATCATCATCTTTTCAAGTGATTTTGGAAATTTCTTCTTCTCCCTTATCTTGTTGATTATATAATTCAAGTCTCTACGATTCTTCACAGGTAAATTCCCATACACCAATTCCAGTGCTGTTATTCCCAATAGCCACATATCAGATTTTTCTCCTCTGTTATCCTCATTTTCACTCTCAAACACCTCTGGTGCAGCACCCCATATAGAAATATTCTTCGGAGTCAAAAACAAACTACCTTCTTCAAATGGAGGTCCGGAGTCATAAATGGATACTTCAAATGCTAACTTGATCGACATTTCATTAGTATCATCGTGGATGTTAACAAAGATATCTCCGGCATTCAAACTCTTATGAAGCGTTGGACAGCAGAAAACATGAACTTCGTCTCGTAGGCCAATAAGTACTTCTCTAAGAACAACAGGAATGAAATTCTCTGGCAATTTCTTTTCAGGACGAGTGGAGAGAATAGAACGAAGCGATCCCTCAGACATATACGGCAAAGAAACACATAACAAATTCGAAGCAAAGAAAGTTTTCTTGCTTCGAATTATGTTGGGACTCTGAGGTTGAAAAAGGTGTGTTTGAAGTTGATGTTGAATCAATTTGAATTCATTCTGATGGAGTTTCATGTCGATGATCTTCAAAGTGACATAGCCACGAGGAACGGGTCCGCCAGAGCGATATGTATTTCTGGAAAACAGAGCTTTGTAAACAGGGCATCTTCCATTAGAAAAAGACCCAATTTTCAAGATGAGAAGGTAAGTATCTTTGGTGTATGGATCAGTGATGGTTTGTCCAGGTCTTGGTCGATTTGAAAAAGAACCAATTTCGGCATCTGAACTTCTTGAAGAACCAATATCTGTTGGCTGTTTTGAAGAAGAACCAATTTCCATTTTGGTACTAAATGGGTTTCTGGAATCCATGTTTTCTTGGAGCAGAGAATCACAGTTTCAGAGAAAATGGAATTTGGTTTGTGAGGAAGACGAAAATGGAAGAAGAAGAAGATGTATTTATAGCTTTGGCCGTTTGGATTTGTTATTCCCCTGCGCATAATTGGCCCAAAATTTATTTTGTTTCTTTAAGTTTTCCTTTTTCTTAAATGGCCAAGTATTTACATGTCTAATACTTGTAATTTCCCCGACTACACTTCTGCACCCTATAGATCAAAATACGAGTTCTCGCCGCTGATTTGGTCTCGTGCGGAACAACTCATGGGATTTGGAGATTTGGGTGAGCTCCTAGCGTCCGGAGTTGCCTCACTCTCCCTGTGTTTCACACTAGGACTAGTCTTTATTTTGGTTCCAAAGATAGTCATATATTATTGTATTGTTTCTGTACTCTTGTTTTCATTAGTTGCTCAAATACCGGCCGAAACCAGGTCTTGGGTTTGTTTTTGTATTTGATTTTATTCTCTTTTTTTTCCCCTTTGCTTCTTATTATTATGGTTTATCTTCCGAAATTCTTTTCTTCCGCGCAATAGTATGTTGCTTCTAGTTCTAAACTATGAGTTTGGCTTATCTACGGGTGGGATGTAGTAGGTGCCATCACAATCTGAATTTTTTGATTGTGACAGTCATAGTCTAGGGTGTACTTGAGCCTTACTTTTTCTTAAACTTACTAAGAATTAAGAATTAATTTGTATTTAAATATATTAGGAAAAGAAAAAAAAAGAAATGAATTTAAAAAAACAAAATCAAATTTTAGAGAATTTGTCAATAATGTGGCGTGTGTAATAATACACTTGTCATTTTGAGAATGGTATTACATTCTTAGGGCGGTATTAATTCACTTCAAATATGCTACGGGGGTATTTAAAGCTCGTGTAGTTAAAGTATTAAAGTAAGATGTGCTACCAAGTTTGGGGGGAAGGGTGTTTTCTCATTTTGAGTTTTAACTTTTCACATGACATGTTTAATATCTCAAGATCTTAAGATCCATACATGTAATTTAAGGTTATAAATTCGAAAATCTTGTTTATTTTTTTTTAAATTTTGAGTCAAGTCAAAATACGACAAATGATTGAAATGGATGGAGTACTATTTATAAAAAAAAAGTAAATTTCTTCATGGAAAAAATAACTTTGCATCTAAAAATATTTTTCAAATAATTTTAATCAACTTGACATCTTAAAAAAATTAGAAGAATAGACTTAAAATATTTTCTTGAAAGAAAATTAAAAGTTTAAGGCCTCAATTCATTTTTTATTTTAGGTTACTCTGAGTTGCAACGAAGTGGTGCCTATTCAGCTGCGCCACTATAGTCTGTCACGTCTTATATATGAGAATATTGAATATCTCTTATGAAGGACTTTAACGAAGTTCTTATTTTTATATAATTAAAATTAAAAAGAATATATTGATTTTTTAATTAATATAATACAAAAATAAATTAAATAAAATATTAAATATTAATATAATATTATCATGATAATTTAAATATATAAAAAAATCAAGTAAAATAAATTTAAAAATCAATTCACAAATTAAATCACTACTTAATAGTGTTAAGGTTGCTTGAAGAGCACAAGAAAAATAAACGTCTTTTTTTTTGGGACAAGAAATGAATTATATGTATAGTGTAAAATGCAAATATATAAAATTATAACTTGATAATTACAACAAGAATATGACGTAACTATAAAAAAAATTATTTACATAGAAAAGTATTGAAAATACCTTATACTTAGTGCAATTATTAATTTCATCATGAACTATTAACAGTCTTAAAAACATCTATCTATTTGACTAAATAAACTTAGATACACCCCCGATCAACCACATGACATAACAAATAGTTTCAAACTCTTATAGGAGCATGAAACTCTTAATAAAAAGTTGAGAGAAATGTTGAAAAGACTAACTTGGCGAGAATTTAAGAGTGTATTTCACTGTTGCAAGATCGAGAGTGTATTTAAGTTCAATTACCCAAGCTAAATGGTATTTTATAAAATTATCAGTAGTTCAAAGATAAAAGTAATAATTCACGCTTAATTTAAGAGTGTTTTCAATACTTTTATCTAATTTAAATATACGATTCTATCTCTCTTATAAATGAAACGGATTGTTGTATGCAGTGACCAAATAGGTTGTTTCATAATGGGAAAATGCATAAGTACCCCCCAGCCTATGCCCAA